TTGAGTTCTCATATCACGTGTGTCTCGGCTTGGATTGCTAAAGTGCTGAAGTGTGTGCTCTTTGTGGCGTGAGATGTTGGTTTGCAGTCTGGGCTCGTTGCATTTTTTTTAATGATACTTTTTTTTCCCAAAAAAACATCAACACAAATTCTAGGTGTCTGATTTCTTTCAGATATTTATTTTTGCACATAATTGTGAGCGTGAAAAAATTGCCAAAGTTGGCGAACTACCTTCTTTTGCGAGCTGTGGGACCGCCAACTAACACCCATCCCCCACGATCACCCACCAACAGCCCATTCCCCCCGCGACCAGGGCCTCCCCAAGTACACCCACCAGAGTGGCAATTTCGCAGCAGTTGAGGGGGAAACGTTTGGTGGTTTTAATCCCCCTACCTACCTACCAGTAGCAATCGCAAACGTGATCATGTATAGTCATCAGGTGATCGATCAGGTACAGATCCTGCTCGCCAGCACAAACATGATGTAGCAATCGCAAACGTGATCATGTTTAGTCATCAGGTGATCAATCAGGTGCAGATCTTGCTCGCGAGCACAAACATGATGACTGCTTTGCTTTTCTTTTCTTTTCTTCTTTCGTCTTTATATTTATCTTTGCTCACCTGAATGATTATCGTGGTCATCATGATTCCTTCCCCTTCTCTGTTATCCTGAGGAGGGCTCCACAGAGAAGCAACTCCACAACTTGTCAAGCCTCTGTTTTGCAGGATCATCTAGCTACCGAACCTGTCGAGGTCCAGTATAGAACCCCTAGCCTACACCCTCCATCAGTCAAGCAACCCGTAAATTTTTTTATTTTTATTTTTCTTTTTTCTTTTTTTAAACAGGACCTTATGGTCCTAGCTCTTTCTATTCTGGGGAGCGACAGTCCGGAACCCGTCCACAAAAAGAAGGGTTTCTTTTTACCCCCGTTAATACCCCCTTTAATACCCCTGATTAACCACCTGTGTCTCGCCCCTTCTGTTTCTTTTTTGTTGGTTGTTGTTATAGGAACATGTGGTCCTCACCTGAACGGTCTTGGGGTACCATCATCGAACTGACCAGTCCAGCGTGATTTACAGTTATTTCATTTTCATCGGATTCGATCAGGATTCCAACTCAGCTCTGCTTATTAGCATTTACATGAGTGTCCCATTCAGCCACATGGGCTGGGTTGTTTTCCACCCTTGCCCTTTCACGAACATGTGGACGATGAAACGAACGACTTCACGTTCGGGTGGTACATGTCTCCCTCGATCCTTACTCTAAATAATCAATCAACCAATCAGCGAGCCCATCTACCACTTACCCGTCAATCGGCCTATCACTCAATCAAAGCAACCAACCAATCCGTGTGTTAATTAGTGGATTGATTCACGGATTACTGTTACCTAATCGAGTGCCCCATCTATCTATCAATCAATCAATCAATTAATCAATTAGCGAACCAATGCATCAATTACCCGTTAATCGGTTTATCAGGCTGTCACACAATCAAATCAGCGAATGAATGTCTATCAAACAGTGTAATAATTAACTATTACCGTTAGTTAATCGATGCTCTATCCATCCAATCAATCAATCAGTGAATCAATCAATCACTCAACCGTCAATCGGCCTATCACTCAATCGAATCACCGAACCAATCTGTCTACAATTTAGTGGATTTATCCACCGTTACCGTCAGTTAATCGATCGATCGCCATTAGTTACCGTTAGTTGCCGTTAGTTGCCGTTAGTTGCCGTTAGTTACCGTTAGTTACCGTTAGTTGCCGTTAGTTACCGTTAGTTAATCAACCAGCGGTTATTGATTGATAAAGTGAAGCAAATCGATCAAGAAAGAGAAGGAAACCACAAATAGAGAGAACAAACGACCAGTCCAATCAGTGAACCAATCCCTTAATCGATCAATCACTTAATTGATCAAAGCAAATAGTGAACAATAGCGCTAGTTAATCTGTGTAATCAAATAATTAACCAATATCTCCAGCGATCAATCAATCAGTGACAGATAATACTGCATCGATACCGTTCGCTTATCGTTTTTTTTAATCAAACGACAATCGCGCCATCGATCAACAGGTGAACCAATCACTAAGCAGCGCCCTAACGAGTCGATCAACTACTACTACTCAACTGCGAGAGGTGCTCTCAATCCGCCCATCACTGGAGGCCAGAGAAGACCAATCCATTTGTTTGATTGATTGCTTCGATGGACAACGCTTTACGACAGGAGAGTATGTCTACGGACAGCATACGAGTATTTGTCCAATCAACCCGTTGAACACCAAGCAATGTATCAATCAATTCCCTCGATTGATCAAATCAACCAACCAATCAATCAAGACAAACAATGAATAGACCAAGAAAAACAATTAAACGATACCGTTACAGTTAATTTGTATCATCAAACAACCATAACTGATCAGCGACGTAATCGATTGGCCAATTACTCGACCGTGACATAGCGCCCTCAATCTGTCTATCATCAGAGGCAGGCCAGAGAAATGGACTTGCTTCGTGATTGATTGGTTGATTGATTGATTACTTGGTTGATCGCTCGAATGTTTTGATGGACATGATTACTTGTTTGACTGATTGCTTATCTCATAGATAGCGAGAGAGATTGTTTGTATGGTTTCCTTGTTTGATTGATTGATTTGCTTCGATGGACGTGCACTGCTTGATTGACCGACTGACTGACTGACTGATTGATTGATTGATTGATTGATTGATTGATTGATTGATTTTCTTCGATGGACATGATCTACTTTATTTGATCGATTGCTTGTTTGATTAATTGTTTGTTTGATTGACTGATTGATTGATTGATTGATTAATTGTTTGTTTGATTGATTGATTGATTGATTGCTCATTTGATTGATAGCCTGTTCACTCTCGCCAAAACCGGAAGCAGGGTCCGCCTGACGGTACATTCCCTCGACAAAGCAAGCACCCTCCCTCGTTCCCGGCAAAACTTTCCCCCCAATTCTCAGAATGMCCCCCCATTCCCGCCAAGACCAGCACGCGCCAAACTCGTTCCTTGAGTCCCGCCAAATCCAGCGGGCTCATTACTACCCCCCYCYCCCCCCCCCCCCAAAAAAAAAAAATGGATACCTGCCGCTTTCAGACCTCGCGAGGGCGTCTGTGGCTATGTATGTATCATCGCCCAGAAAGAGTGTGTTATCCTCGCCCAGAAAACATACATAGCCACTGACGCCAATCAAATCAATGCCGTGAAGCACACAGAGACGTAAGACAAGAGAACAGGTGCCTCGGACACACTCTTTCTTCGAATTCTCGTTGACTTATCACGATCAGATATGAGATAACACACACACACTGTATTACAACGAGGCTGGTAGAATGCATCAATGTCTTGTCGGCGAACAACTGTCAAGCACCCCCGGTTTCCCTCCCTTCATCCCTCACCGGGGGCCAAGCCCCACTAGCAGCGTTGAGTTTCCTCATCGCGGGAATTTGGACGGGTTTCCAGAGAGGTGCGGTTCAGGAAACTCAACGCCATTTTCTGCACCTCTTTGCAAACGCGTCCAGATTCGGGCGTAGAGGAACTCAGCACTGCTAGTCGGACTTGGCCCCGAATGGTTCCTTCTGACAACGTAACATTTGTCACGTAGAAAAGAAAGAGGAAATGCGACATATCTAGCGCGCGCACACGCACACTCCCACGCACGCACGCACCCGTAACTGAGGAAGGAGAGAGAGAGAGAGAGAGAAAGAGAGAGAGAGAGAGAGAGAGAGAGAGAGAGAGAGAGAGAGAGGAGATGCAAACACATTGCGGCATGTGTACAGCCCCGGCGATCATTTCCTCAGACCAGACCGCACCTTCAAGAGAGAGAGAGAGAGAGAGAGAGAGAGAGAGAGAGAGAGAAGAGATGCAAACACATTGCGGCATTTGTACAGCCCTGGGGGTCATTTCCTCAGACCAGACCGCACCTTCAAGAACTATTTCGAGAGCGCGCAGTATTTCCTTCGTCCCGGCATCGAGTTTCTCCTTCTTGATCGACAGATCGGCTGGAAAGAACGTGTCTCGTGTGCCGTACAACTCGTTCAGTTTGCTGACGATATCCGCCAGCCGTGGATCCGCAGCGGCTATATCCATGGCGACACGGCGGAGCAAGACAAGCAGGGACAGACAGGAGCATAGACAGACAGACAGACAGACAGACAGGTGTTTCTCCAATACGAAGCGGATGACGAAATTTGCTTCCCGCCAAAAGTGCGATTAATGGTCAATCAAATGTTCTTCCCGCCAATCGTGGCCAATTGTCAATCAAATCTCTTCCCCGACCATGGCGCCAAATGGGCAGTCAAACGTTCTCCCCGCCAATTTCCCTCTTTTCCACGACTACAGTCCTCCCCCGAACATAACGCACCCTAAACATGAATGTATACAAGCTATGTTTCCGGCCAGATACTGCCAAAATAAGGGTGCGTTGTGTTCGGCGGAAGACGGGTAGTAGCGCTCCCTTCTCTCCGCCTACTACTGGTGCACCTACGCTCTTCCTCTCCCTCTCTCGTCAAACGAACATCCTCCCCGCCTTCTTGCCCTCTGTTTTTGCCTGGCACACAGCGTATTTGCTATCCCTTCTCCCTTCTCCCTTCTCCCTCCTCCCTCCTCCGGGTCCTCCGTCACCTCTGATTCCTCCACACTACCGTCGTCAAACCCGTAGGGCCTACTCACACAAGGACTTCCGACGATGAATGAATTCGGCCGTCAATTCGTTCATATACGTCTTGAAAACTCTAGCGTGCGAGTATATCCCCTTCGTTCAGATGAGGAAGACCAGAAAGTCCTAGGAAGCGAGTAGTCGTCGAGATCACGTACAAGAAACAGGGAGGATCGTTTCCTCGCTACCGGTAGTCTCCCGGGGCAAGGTCCCACTTGCACGGATTAAGAGATTCTGGCCGTTGATCTTCGCTATCTACGGTCAACATCGCATAATTCGTGCAAGTGGGACCTAGCCCCCGATAGAGACCACCAAACTACCGGCTTGATGGCAATTCTGAGGGCATACGCGGATGTATGCGACGGCAATCACGCCTATAGAATCAATGGGGAAAAGTCCAATTGTGACTGACGATTCAGTACGAGAGGCTTCCCGGACTGCTCAAAACGACCGCGATGTCACGAGAGGATGGCCGGCATCAGCGGCGACTACATACGATCATGGCCGGGGTAAGTAAGGAGCCTCCTGAGGACGGCAGGACCACTGGGCACTACCTGTAGGTCAGGAGAGAAACACAGGACAAAACGGTCATGGGTGGGAGGGCCATACCAGCTGGTTCATTGACGTAGAATTTAGATCAGACAGTACCAGGCAAAAGGGCCTCGCGTGGAACCTGCTGAGGAATATCCCCTCCCAGAAACAGGCTAGTATCATGTGGAGCCAGTCACTGGGCCTTACGGGGTCTGCTATGTGGCTGAGTGACAGAGGAATGGATCTGGATGTAACATGCAAGAGATGTGGCTGGCATTGGGAAAAGGCTAAACACATCTGGCTGTCTTGCCCACACTCTGAAGAACTCTGGAGGTGGTGGAGAATTCAGTGGGAAGATGCTGTAGGACAAAAATGGCCGTGGTCTGATGACTGGATACTCCTGGCACGGGCAGAAACAGAGAAAACGATTCAGGGAGGCTGGGAGTATGCGGCTTTGGTCGCTCGTGGTATCATGATGGAGGTAATCTGGAAAGCAAGAAACTCGGCGGTCTTCAAAAACCAGCTCATCTCCTTCCATCAACAGAGAGCTATGGTGAAGCAGTCGCTCAACTATTCTAGCAGACTGGAGGAGGGCGACCAGAAGACTTGGTAAAGGTCTGGGCTGGAAAGCCTGGGCCAGGGAGGACTTTTTGGCTACAATAACAGAGGGACGTTGTGACGAACCGATTTCCGCACCGCGCGATTTCCTGCGCGATAGCGATGAGGGGTCCTAAGCTGGGAAGGTTGGGCCAATTACAGGAGATCGGGATTGGAAGGAAATTGCATCGGTGCCCTCGCTTATTCGTCTTTTTGCGTCAGTTCCTTTCAGATGGCTGGTTCAGGCCCGGGTGAGCCCCGGGACGATTGATTGGTTGATTGATTGTGTGAATGGCGCGTTGTCGAACGCGCGATTAATAAATGTTGACATTGTTTCTTTTTCCGGCCTCGGACTTTTTAGGCGCAGATATCGCGCGGGAATTTTGCGTCGTTCTTTTTTTAATTTTCCTTTTTGAATCTTGTCGAGCCCCGATGGCTCTCGAAATTTCGGACTTTCTTTTCAGAACTTGTGCTTTTCGCTTTTTCGCATTAGACAGGAATTTAGGAATTTTATAATTAGGATTTTCTTTTGTCACGCAGCACCTTTTTGCTTACGCGCTTCTTTATGCGGCTGCAATGGAACTCTGATTAGTCGGCGCCTTTAATCGGGTGTGTAACTGTAGTTTTGGGCGGGCGCCATTGTAACTGTATCTTTCTTTTTGTGCTTCGCCTTTCCCGCCCTTCTTCTCTTTCTTTCCGCTGTGTTTTGGTAGCCGCGGTCTGCATGATCGGATCGATGCGTGGAGAGCGGCTACATCCCCCACGCCACGATTGGGCCATGCAGAATGTAGGAGTTCCTTCTCTAATCGTCCTTCTAAGTCCTTGTAATTCCATGTTCTTCGCGCATGCATGCACGCTATAAATTTCGACTGCGCGATTAGTTAGCTCTCTTAACCAGCTAAGTGGAAGCTTGGGGTAGCGCGATCAGGGAGGGTCGACTCACGAGCGAAGTAAGAGGTGAGTTGAAGTGGGAGTCTGGCGACCCGACGAGCTGGTGCTTAACGCGCGGGGTTGACGCGGGCCACGACGGACTGTGGGTGCGGGCGAACGTGACGGGTGCGAGAGGACTAAGCGGGGTGACGACTTCGTGGGTTGGTGCGCGACGACGGACTGTCTGCATCGGAGAGAGAGAGGGAGAGGAAGAGAGAGCTAAGGTTGATGGACGCGGATTTGTTGTTTCTTTTATTTTTTCTCCCTCCCTGCTTGTGTATATAAGTTTTGATTTCGTCTCAGGGCGATTTGCCCGTTTCTGTTTTTCGGATTTTGGACTCGGCTTTTCGCTCACACTTGTCTTTGCGATTTCCATCTCGGATATGGTGTGTGAATGAATGAATGGATGTCGTGTCTGTTGTTTGTCGTTTCCACCTGATCCTTGCCTTCGTTTACCATCTTGATGCACTCGTGAATAGGGTAGGAATTTTGTGTGGTCATTAATGTTGCTTCCCTTTTTACTTATCTTTTGATTGAGCCGTGGTGGTTGATGCATCTTGCATGCTCGGAAATTAGTAGGGAATGATTAGTAGATAATCGGGTAGTTGTCTGCTCAGAAACCAGCGAATGCCTTGTAGGAACGCACGTAAGTACGATCTGCTCTGCGCACTTACACGTGTCCCTGCGTATCGATTCACGACCAAACCACACGTAACGAGGTCAATGATTGGTTGGATGTGGTCATTCCGCGTCAGCAACGAAGCAATCATCCCATGTGAACACGCATAAGCGCGACTCGATTCGCGCGGCCTGCACGTTCTCACACGCGGTGATCGCAATCGGCACAGACCCGCCCTTAGGCATCTCGCAGTTCTGTGATGACATAATGACGCGCTCCGAGAGCTCAGAGTCGTTGTACGACCCGGATTACTTCACCCCATGGATAAAAGAAAGCCTTCCACAAAGATTTCCCTGTCTAACAAAAAATCGGTTGTGTCTTAGAGAGTTTCATTGCGCCACCACCAACGACCCCCGGTGCTCTGATTTCCCCACTTCAGACCACACCCACTACTTTATCTCCCCTGGCTTCGTCGTTATCTCCACTAACTTCCCTCCCTTCCGTCTTCTTTTCCCTTATCATCAACTCAGGGTCATCCCGTGGAAAGCCATAGCCCCCTACTGGCCCAATACGCCTTGTGAAAATTGCCGACAATGCGGCAACTAGAGAGCCTTGGGACCGCGAGGGCCCAACCAGAACGTACGACGACCGGCGCCACGTGGCGACACCAGACGACCCGACTCATCAGGATCACACCCACCCCGAAGGGATCTTTCGATGAACCGCCGTCCTCAAAACAGATGGATTGCACGGTCTTGAATAGCCCGCGCATGCCATTTGCCTTATAACCAGAGGCGGTTCGCCCTCTCTGCCAAATTGCACCGTGCCCCCGAAAAACTTTGCCACAGGAGATCCCAATTCTGACCTGGGACTCCACCCCCACTTTCCCAAAAATCCTTGGCACACCCTTTTTCGCACATTCAGGCCTACATTCTACTCCGATCAGGAAGTCGCGCTGGGAGTGAGGTTGGTATCGGGGCCCGACACGTGGCCGGGTTTTAGGATTAACAACACGTTAATTGAGGATATCAGTCTGTTGATAACAGATGGACAATGGTTTAATGATGAAATCATCAATTTTTATCTCATGGCGCTCCAACAGGACAATCTGCACAGATTGAAGGTTGACAACCTTGAGAAAGCATCGAGCGATTGCCATGAGATAAATTCGAGGGTATTATTTTGAACTCTTTCTTTTACACAAAATCCACGACTCTTTCAGATTAAGAGTATTGTCATACTGATGTTGCAAAATGGGTTAAGGATAGTTGCATTCTTGATTACGAATTTGTCATTTTTTCAGTGAACATGAAGATGCAGCACTGGTTGTTGGCATGTATGGATGTTCGGCGCTGCAAACTTGAAATTTTCGATTCACTACCTTTAGGTCGTAGAATGGAAAAAAAAATGTACGATCATATTTTTAAAAAACTTTCATTGTTTTTCAAATATGAGTTTGATCGTATTCAAAATGAGAGTCGCGGAGAAGAGGTTAGGTTTGATTGTGATCCTAGCCCGGACGGAGTACCTGAACAGAATGATAGTGCAAGTTGTGGAGTGTTCAAATTAGTTTTTGCTTCGCTGTTAACTCGAGGTTATCGTCCGCCTTTCTCCTTCTCATATGTTGACATTCCGGCTATGATCGTTAGAATGACACATTATATTTTGTCGATAGGTTTGAAGTAATTAGTGAATCATTTAATAATGGTTTTACGATGAAACAATACTTTGAATTTTATAGCAGAATCATTGTGTACTACTGTACTATGCCACTCTTTTAATGACGAGGAGACAAACAAGTGCGGCATGTTTGAAATCTTAGGCTAGCTCTGAGAATTATTTAGTACTTGGTTTCATTATCGAAACAATGTAATAAATAATGAATATTTTGTGATGACTATTTTCAAAATCTCTGGAAATTCATATTTCTAAACGGTGGTTGTTGCAATAATTTATGTTGCATCAATTTAAAAAAAGTAAACAATATTGTAATATCGCCTTGACATGTAAGATATTATAATTTGGTATTTTTTTAAATGTGCAATACAAAATGTAATTTCTAAACTTTGTATTTCACAGATATAGATATGTTTTTAAAATTTTCACTATTTTTTCGATCATTTTTATGGTATATTTATACGTACAAAAAAAGTGAACAGGAAAATAATTTTACTTTTAATGAAAACACCGTTGTTTCTTCCACTTCGTGAATGACTCACCCACTGGTTTCCAGGCACACTGAACTCCTCGGTCCGTACTTCAAGACGGCGGAATAGACGACTTCCGCCAGCATCCCAAACTCTCAGGAACCACCTCAACCAAAGGAGGCGCGCACTCAAGGTCCTCGGTCGCCGTGACAACCCCAAAATCCA